AGGAAATTATACATTGTTTTTATTACTCTAAAAAAACATAAGACCTTAACATATGATTTAAACATATTAAAAAAAGAAGAAAAGACATAATTGCACTAGTCCCACAAACAAAAACTAGACTTGCTGCCATGCAATATAACCGACGTTCTTCAGTATTATATAATCGCATAAATAAACAGATATACATATACACAAAAACATTAAAAGAAAGTAAAATAACATTGGTAAATTGGATAAAAAACCTTACCTATGAAGAGACTGAATCACTCCTTGAGCACATAAAATAAAGAAGCACACACACGCAGTAGAGCCCACATCCACAATTACCCACACTTACACACACGCACGCACACTCACACACACACACACTCACACACACACCAGACACTCTCACACACACACACGCACATCCACACACACACACACACACACACACACACACACACACACACACACACACACACACACACACACACACACACACAATCACATAGTTATAAAATGCATGCTTAAAACTTAAAAACTTAAAAATTAAGGATAATTTAGGTGACTTTTAAATGTATCGATATGGAAGAGCGGTGTCTCCTAATACAGGCATTATTTGCTTAAAAGGAGGCTCCAATCACTAAAATTTGTTAACGATTTCTTTTGGTACCAAATAAAGATTTATTATTTATTATTATTATTATTTGTATGTTCGTTTCCGTTCACGGGATCATAGGATCCCGGACCTTTGGAAGGCGTACGAGGGGCCGAAGCCAACTCGCAGAGGCCCTTTGAACAGTTTTAATCTAAATGTGATGGGACATCAGCCGGCAATTATCCCTGTTTGCACTATGAAAGTGCACCCAAGGATAATCCCCGGTTGATGCAAGACTATTGCGAATTGTGGTAATAAACGAAAGGGTTATGGGTATGGGTTGCTATGGACTGGTGGATATGATAACTATGGAAATACTATGGCCCCTGCCCCTGACCAATATTGATACATACGGATAAACAGGCAGGGGGTGACTGGCAAACTCAATTAATGGGCCCCCGGAAACGGCCGCTAGCATGTAGCGACACGGAGGCAACATACGTTGAGCTGCTTGGGGAAGGAGAGGCATCCCACGGCTATCAGAGCAATCCCGGAAGTACGGTCAAGACCCCTACCAGCACCTTACTGAGATACATCCTTCCCCCGAGTCTCCTTCAACTCCTACTCTTGCGAATCTCCACTCAAGCCAGCCAATTAAGGCAAGAATGAGGTAGGAGGGCTTGTTCTTCATCAGTGTTCACTCCAGCTCGTCACGAGGACTAACCGGAGAGAGAAGAACAAGACACCTCCCGGGAGTCAGGTCCGTGGGGTCGCCACTGCCCAACAGCTCGCCACAAGCTGCCTTGCGGATTTATTATTATTATTATTATAATTGTAGAAAAATACGATGGCGTGGTGCGTGCGACGCGACGTGCACTCGGCGCGACACTGGAGGCGGCGACTGACGGGGCGAGTGCTACGGGCCGCGCGCGATCGCACACTGAGCGCACTCCGTACTCCGCGTTAGCTACAGAGAGCTACAGGACAACAACACGCGGCCAAGTCTAGATGGTCGCGCGCCGTGCTCGCAGCGACCTGTCGAGCCGGCCTTTCTGAAGCGGTCGAGTAACACAGGCGCCACGCCACTAGTGCTGCCACTGCCACTCGTCAGACTACCTGGACCACCAACTCCCCCGATTTAGCAGGGTACTTTACTTCTACTTGTAAGAGTCGCTAATTTTCTCATGGTGGTAATATAATTAAAAGGGGACACGTCTTTTACCCTACGCATTGTCAAGCATGAATCCCAAAGTGCGACATATTAGTAGAAAATCTCTACCCTCATGTTTTGCCCGAACAAGTAATCTAAAGAGAACCCAGGTTATACCCTTCGGGGACACAGATCCGGCAAAGAATTCTACTCCTTAGCGGTTCGGATTATAAAACTGGAGGCCAACCAACTTTTATTAGAAAATAAAAAAAAAATATTGCCATACCACTATTACCTACATACGAACTACAAATAAATTAGAAATACTACTGAAAACAATGCTAGTTATGCTAGATTTAAAAATAATTTCGACATGCATGCATGCGTGCATGGGTTAATTACATTCATCATACAGGTCGAATCATTAAAAACCAAGTTTTTAAAAGAAAAAGTAAAAAGTTCGAATGACAGCATTATCTCGGCCTCTCTGTTATTGGTTAGCAACCAAAAAGGATGAGTTTCAACATTCCGGCTACTGGTAATGTGCCCACATGTTTGTACAACGAGCGGACAGCATTATTTGTCACCCAAAGCGTGTCAGTTATTGATCATTTCGAATATTTACTTATTTTAGAATCTCTTTGCGATATCAGCGCACTTGTTATTTTGTAGAGATTTTATGGCCGCCGCTCCATGATTATAATGATGCTGATAACGGCTACGGTTCACTCGGGCTAACGACTGCCCCGGCCTCGGGTCTATCACACCCCGCACGCACGTGAGCGGACCTGAGGCCTCACTCCACGCCGACATACGCACTACTTTTGTTAAAACTTCGTGATATCAAGTGACATAACATCACGTTTTTATTCCCTTTTATAACAGAGGGCTGAATTCAAAATTCCTGTTACTGCTATAATTTTCACATCACATCATCAGCCTATAACCAACCAAGCTGCTGAGAAAAAGCCTCTTCTCACTCGGAGAAGCATTGAGCATTAATCGCTACGCTGGCTGACGGCGAGTCGTGGATTTCAAACTATCAGTCCAGGTTTCCTCATGTTGTTTTCCTTCACCGTGAGTAGAATCTAAAAAAACTTATTAAGTACATTATATTTCGCCAAAATACACCTTGCTACTTGACAGATTTCAAACCCGCCTTCTCATCTATGAGCAACCTTTTTAACCTCCGAGGCAACAACAAATCTAGTTTTACGAAAAACAAACATGTCATAGTAAACAAACAAAAAAATAGGGAAAATGAACCGTCTGTTTGGTCGCCGCTGGTGGCGATTGTTTATTTATTGTTTTTAGAAACCGAACAATCATAAGTGTACATATGTATGCATAGTAGAAATGATGACTATGTGTGTTTCGTAAGGACAATAAGAGGCTTCTTTTTTTATTGCTTTATGTCATAGGTCGATAAACGAGCAGACGGATTACCTGATGGCAAGCAATCGGCGCCGCACATGGAGACTCGCATCACCAAAGGAGTAATAACGAGTGCTTTACCGGCTTTTTATGCGTTTTTAGGGATTTACGGATAATTTGGGGATAGAGGCAACATAACTCACACGGCGAAAAACAACGTAAGTATTGCTTCACGTCGGCTTTCTGTGAGACATCAGTCCGGTCGAGCCGACCTATTCGTGCCGAAGCAGAGCTCTCCCATACTAAATTAAATTAAAAGAAAAAACAACACCAAGTCAGTCAGCAGTCATTATACACAGCGGCTAATTAATGATGTGCTCTACCCTTTATACATTATCAGTTATCGTGCGATATATTTATATCAATTAGATACGAGCCGCCCGCTAACTCGACGGATTACTGAATATCCCGAGATTAGCTAGCTAAGTACGAATTAGTCTTTATTACAGGCCGGTGTACCGACGTGCTGTCACTCTGTGTCTTCGTAGATGATGATCTTCCTTCCTTGTTGCATACACTTAGTATTTGCGTGTCGAGATTTGTATCACTACAGCGAGTAGCGCGCGCGCCAGAGGAGGGAGGGAGGGAGGGTGGGAGGTGTAAATGAAAATCTCATTAGTTAATAACTCCATGTTCTGTTATCTGTAACATCAACACACGACAGTTTGCAAGAGATCACAAACAGTGCGCAGCGGTGGAAACATTATTTATTACATTATTGTGTTCCGCTCACATTTCCATTTGATGCTGAGCACAATTACAAGGAATTAAATGATAACCGGAGCTGCGCGGCACCGTGACAACTGCCAAACGCGCGACTAGCGACATCTCGCGGCCGCCGGCCGTATGTTGGGTCGCAGCCTCCGCAGCTCCAGTATCACAGACAAACAACATCTCAACAAATCTACAATAAATGCAGTTTATTACGAATTATTACAAAAATATAACAATGGAAGTAGTTTCTGTTAATACTAAGTAAAATAATATTTAGTACTTTGTGTGGGTATAAATTAGGCATAATTAGTTGTCTCCTGGCGCGTCAGTAATCTTACGTTGGAACTAGAGGCGACGGCCGGCCGGCCGCGCCCGTCACTCCGCTACATATCACAAGGGCAGGCACTTACTCCATACTGCGGCGCCGCCTGCAGCCAGGGCCGGAACAACTAGTCAGGGGACCCAAAGTCCTTAGACAATGCAAGTTTTTTTTTTTTTCGAATAAACTTAAACAATTTTGATATATTGCTGATTTTAGAAAGTGTTGATGATGATTATAAAAATTATTTTTAGCGTCCATTTAATTGTTGTTTTTGCCTACTCAGACTGTTGGTTACTCCGGCCCTGCACGCAGCGTACAGTCGGCGCGCCGCGCGGCACTCTAGGAGCCGAGGACCTGGCGTAACGCAGGGAGAGAAGGAACAATACCAATATATTTGCTAACTCATTCTCATTTATAAAAACTACGTATCTAAAGTAGAATTGACTCCGTCCCCGAAGGTCCTCCACTACTAAAGTAAGACGTCCCACAGTACGTACCCACTGCACGCATGCTGTGGTTGTGCCAGTAGGTAGGTACATGTAGTACACGTTTCTTCTAATTGTTATCAAAATATAATTACACTACTTATCATTAGTGAGGACTGTATGTCTTAAAATTATGCAAATTACATTTATACAGACGTGATAATAATTAGGTGATGTCCGTGATGTCGGCCGTGATCCCAACGAATCTAATCAAAAATCTCGGATCCCGCAGCACACTCCTAATGATGCCAGTTACCTGTAGTAATTTAGTCAACTGCGATTTGATCCGCAAGGCGTATGTTAACAAAACATAGAAATATTATTGAGATAACACTTTGTTTGTAACGCCATTGTTTACAGTCGCGGTTATCATCGCCTTCGTTGTGTTTCTAACGTCACTAAGTACGTCTCTAAAGATGTAGTAAACAAACACAACATTAGTTTGTATTTACAGTATCGGGCCGGTGCTAGGGTAGCTCACTCTACTCATGTTTGCAGTCCCGCGCCGTCGCCAGGTGGCGCCAGTGTCGGCGATGGCGTCGCGCGGGAACTGTGTGGAACATTCCGCGAGTAGTGCTGACCCCACGCTGCCCCGGACCGATGATCCCTCGAATTACTGATACCTATCCATACTCTGATAAAATACTTATCACATATGCTTCAAATGAATAAAAACAATTTGCTAAAATATGTACAACCCGAAACAAAGTAATTTGCGCGTATTTACTACAAGTATAAGTGGATGTGGACATCACGTGACACGGAGTACTGGCGCACTCGTAATACTGGGCTCGGCATCGCTCGGCAGTACAGGCGCTGGCTGGAGCGAGCTGCTGCGGCCAGCTGGGCGGGACCCGGCCCCGACCTGCAACGGAAACACATGTCACTCGTCTATATTGTTCCTTATATTAATTATAATTTACTGCGCTTTTACGTAACTGTTTGGCGAGGTAACGCTAGGGGTTCATAATCACGTCGTATGATGCGTAATGCTAGTCACAGATTTGAGACCCTAGCGAGACTTGAAACCAGTTGAGATACTTCGCCAATCAGGTACATAAGGAGGAGCAAAGCGGAATGATGTACCGGGACCCCGACTTAGAGCAAGAAAAGGAACGAAGTCGTTTTTAATCATTACGAGTCTGGCATTCATTTCACCCATGCCCAGAACGGGAGATGACATGATGATCACCCAAAAAATACCATTAAAGATAATTGAATATCTCTGTCTCATAATATAAAAAAGTTTAATTTTATTCTAGATTGTTGTTTTGATCACACAGCTAGCGGGGTCGCAGGTGCAGAGGTCGGGGGTCGGGCCAACATTATCTGATGGCGAACTAATTAGTGAACCGACAGTATCATCAGAGACCTGCCACAACACCCTGGCCAGCACATTGGAGGTGTAGGTATCGTGAACTGAAAACTATTGATACTAGTCAGGGGGCGTTCATAAATTACATGAGAAGTTTCAGGAGAGAGAGAGGGTCGAGTCAAATCTCCTTCAATCTTGCGTTGGAGGGGGGGTCTCGGCAAAAATCACGTACTTAAGTATTTTTTTATGAACGAAGCAAAAAAAAATATACAGATTGTACATAAGTACTTAAGATTCATCTTAAGCATACTCGTAATCGTAATACGATTAAGATCCCTAATTCGTTATAAGAAGCAAAAGTTATTTTCTTTTTGCCATAATAATCTAACGCGTTCGGTAAGAAATCCACATTTTGAAAAATCTCACGTGAGATTGGGGGATGGGGGACGAAGTTTAATAAAATTTCACATCTCACCAAAGAGGGTCTGAAATTTCAAAAAACACCTCACGTAGTTTATGGACTGTGACTCTTATCTGTACTGTGAGTCCATTCGAGAGTATTGGTTAAGCGTTGCGAGCACGCCCTCTGGTGTCTAAGCTGTTCTAAGTTCCTTTAATATCGATTCAGTTGAAGACTCGTGGGTGTAACAGAGCGTGGCCGACTCTAGGCGCTAATGTAACTATTCTCCCAAATAATTATTCGTTGTAATCGGTCGTAATCGTTATCGTAGTTGTCGGATTGCTAGATAACCGAGACATGTCTGAACGTAGGTACCTACACACAGTGAACTTGGCCCGAGGTTGTTACATCACGCGGTACTGGAATGTTTGCCCGGCGCCCGGCGCCCGGCCCGGCCTAGGTACCCACATTATTAAAACTCTACACTATCGGATCGGTCACTCGCTACAGAATCTTCTTGTTCTGGATTTTTCTCGTTTCTTCGCTTGTATTTACATAATACAAATATTAAGAAACTGATAACATATTACGATATGCATACATATTTATGTATACTGTCGACCGGCTTCACAAATGGCCCAATACTTCCTCCGCCTCAAACCTGATTCCAAAAACCGTCAAAAGGCAGTTAACGTATTTTCCTCTGCTGTTGGAGATACAGACGGGCGGCGCCGATTGCTAACCTTTAATTGATCTGAATGCTCAATCACCGACATATCGCATGAAAAAAACAGATTTAATCCGAATAAGATGTGAAAGGTTGTAGACAGATAAGTATAATTATTAATGGCGCTAATGGTATTTTATACATCAGTATAGTACGGCCGTCGTATCTTGGCGAGTCTAAAGTTAGCCGATTAGCTGCGCAGTACACAATTTTGTTCCTAAAAGATCCATTGCGCAGACAAACGGCTAACTTCAAACTGGCCAAGATACGTCGGCCGTATAGTTACTGCTGTTATCCCTAATATTAGTTTTCTGCACAAATAAGCCTCATGTATGAGTATGTATGATTATAAGTATGAGTTTCGAAACCAAACACACAGATTATACAAAAACCGGTAAGAGTGTATCGAGCTACGCTCAGTGTAAGGATCCATAGTTTCCCGTCTATCACAATAAGTGTCCCCATTTAAGAGTTGTTGTGAATCTTAAATCCGCAATTTAGAGTAAATAGCGCCATCTCTTAGGGACTTAGGTAACTAATTTGTACAAACTAGACGGGTGATGTAAGTTTTTGGTGTTAATTTTGGATTGCGTAACCCGATTTTAATAATTATTTTATTTGAAAGCAGTTTGGATATACGGTTAAAAATTTAGAGTGGGGGACGCATTTTTTAAAACTTTTGGATTATTTCCAAACATATTGACAATATCAAAACATATTCTGAGTAAACCCCTAAAATCACTCCCTACTTAACTTGTAGGGATAATTTTTTTACCCAAATAAAATATTTTTTCCACTTTTTATTTTACCACTTTGTCGGCATGATTGATATACATATTGGTGCCATAGGTCACAGACAGACGGACAGACGGACAGACGGACAGACGGACAGACGGACAGACGGACAGACGGACAGACGGACAGACGGACAGACGGACAGACGGACAGTCGGACAGACAGACAAACAGACTGGGCTAAGTTCAATACAGTAAAATAATAATCTTATTTTTTGGGTGTAAGGTTCTACACCGGACTGTGTCCCATACTTAATACGAAATGTAATAATCGGCAAAATGCGAGAAATATGTAGTAAACGTGAAAAGAGGCAAGCTATGAGTAAACTTCATAATATGTTAAGACAATTTTACTGTATGAAAATGCTTTCAACAACGACTGGAGAAATTAGAAATACAAACTATCCAAACTTACATTATAAATGCGAAAGTATCTCCGTCTGTCTGTCCGTCTGCCATTTCTTCACGCCTAAACTATTGAACCTATTTGTTGAGTTGTGAAGTCACTATTCCAAGCGAACCAAGTCGCGGGCAAAATCTAGTAATGACATAAAGAGACAAACAGTCAAGATTGGTCGAGTCATCTTGACACTGTTTTAGTGCTTATGTACCCAGAGAATGTTTTAATGGCGTTGTACACAGGTACACGGTCCGTCTGCTCGTATGCCACCTATTCCATAAAAAAAGGTAACTAATAAACTAAACTCGAATTTTAGACAGAAAAATAACTGTTTAGAAAACTTGATGTTTGTTAATATATTGATAAGGTTGTGACGTCACAAACGAGTGCGACTACATGTCTATTGAACTAGCGTCAATGTGTAAATTGAATTTTATACTTTTATATTTTACTAGCTACTCTCGCGCGGTTTCACCTGCTGCTCGGCTGCATTTAAACGTAGCATGATGTTTTTTAACCGACTTCAAAAAAGGAGGAGGTTCTCAATTCGACGAGTATTTTTTTTTTTTATGTATGTACACCGATTACTCGAAGACGCCTTAACCGATTTGCGAAATTCTTTTTTTATTCGATAGGGTATACTTGCCATTTGGTCCCATTGTCATGAGGTCAGGATCTGATGATGGAATCCTGGAGAAACCGAGGGGAACTTTCGAAAATTGTAGGGGCGAGTAGTTTTTTTGTATGATGTTTAAGTAGGCCTTTAACAACACTACAACTTGACGAAGGTCGAAGTCGACCAGATGATGGACTTGGAAGACAGTCGAGGGATCTCCTTGACTATTTGGAGTAGTTGCCTTGTGTTTGGGCTTGAATGATTCGTATTGGCGAGCACTTTGCAGCAGGCTTAGTTGTAACTGTGTTGTAACATTAAGGATCTGATGATGAGAACGAAGGACAGCTCAGGGAACTCCTGAACGGTTTACAGTAACTACTTCGTGTTTAAACTTAATTCATTTATATTGATGAAAACTTCGTACCTGTATGTATTATAACAACTGAAGGTCTGCAGTTTACCTGATGATGGAGACCATTGACCGTCGAGGGAATTCCGGATGGAACCGAGAGACAGTCGAGAGAACTCCTCAACGATTCATAGCAGCTTCCTTGTGTTTGAGCTTAATTAATTCGTTTTGATATGAACTTTACACCTAGATTGATTGTGACTGTCATTAGGGATCTGATGATGAAGACGAAGGACAGTCTAGGGAACTCCTCAACGGTTTACAGTAGCGACCTCGTGTTTGGACTTAATTTATTTATATTTTTAAGAAATTTCCCTCTTCTAGAGAGATGACCTGTGTCCCAGTAGTGGGAACATTAAAATGGCAGATTTTTTTTTTTTTTTTGTGAGGGGAAAATCATCAAATGACTTCTCCCGCCCAGGGCCGGGCAGGAGGGAGTGTCAGACTCTTACTGGCTAAAAACCCCCCTGTTCCTTCTCCTGCTCTGTGCCGAGGTCGCGGTACCTCATTGCGCTTACCCCGCAACCCCGGCTGAACATCAGCCCTTTAGGGCCCCGTCTGTGGTGGTCGAATGGCTCTTTGAGGCGCGCGCGGAACGCTACGCGCCGTACGCTCGGGCCTGGTTCTGGTCGGGCGGCGAGCTGCCCTTACTCGCCGACTGCAGGCCCGTGCTTACGGTGGCCGGAGATCGTCCCTCGATCCCCGACGCCCGTAGTGTCGCCAGTTGCGGCTGCTGGGGCGTGAGGAGGAGGATTGCTCCCACACGCGGGCCGCCTCTCTCTTTGCGAGCATGACTGCTTCACAGCTTGAGGAGACGGCGTCCCAGTTCCTCTCACTTGGCACCATGGCCTCGACTAAGGCCGGGCGCGAGAGGTCGCCGCCGCCGATCACTTCCCTGAGGATACGGCGGTGCTCAGCCCAGGCAGGGCATACCGCTACCGTATGCTCCACCGTATCCTCTAGGTGGTCCTCACAATGACGACACTCGGGCGTTTCCTCCCGCTGAATCCGAAACAGGAACCTACCGAAGCTGCCGTGCCCGGTAAGCACCTGCGTCAGACGGAAGGTGAGGACGCCGCGTCGTCTCTCAAGCCACTCCTCAAAGAGGGGTCTTACCGCTGCTATAGTAGCGTGCCCGGCTGATGATGATGAGATCTTTCCCATTTCTTGGGATCTATATTTTTTAATCGAGCGGCTTCTTTCG